GATCTTTCCAAAGGATCCTTCCTAATTTTTTTCTTTTACCTGATATAATTGTCATTTGGCTGCTGTACTTCCATCTTTTGTACAATTTAAAAGTTAATAGTATATATGGCCAAGTGAAGTCTGTTATAAGGTATGAATATTTAAGGAAAGATTCCCCCTTTTATTTTTGTTATTAAATTTTGATTGCACAGTGAGGATGTTTAAAAATTCCTTGACCTTCAGAGTTACAAGAAATCTCCATAGTAAAGGAAATACAAAGTTTTGCAAAATCGTTGGAAAGCAGCACTTGTATGTGCTGGACTTGTATATGAAAGTCCTAAGTGCTAGTGGGCAGCAAAGGGCACTAAAGGCATCTAAACAATGTGTAATGACCTGCTAAGCTGCTTCACCAGTGCAGGCAGAAGCAAAGATAAACCCTGAAGAAGTGTTTGCTGAAACTTGCACCCAATATAAAGAAACGAATTCAAGAATGTGAGTGACATCTATTTGCCAAAGATGATTAGGTTGTAACCCTCAAGGGTTGATTCCCATAGAAGGTGAGGGAAGGTACGTTATACATAAGGAACCTTGTTTAACAATTTAAACAAAGGTTAAATTGGAACAGGCCTAAGAACTGTTTAAATAAGGCAGAAGCATTTTGATCAAAAGTGGCTTGAGAAACAGAAGCCTGTAGAATTGTACCTGAAGGAATAACAGTGACAGTAGCCAGCAATTTGTCTATAGCAGCATTTTCCTCAGTGAGAGACCCTTGCAATTGGGAATGGGAACAGACATGATGAATAAAACAAGGAACATGACATGACTGTATGACAAGTAGGACATTGCAAAGTAAATGAAAAAGATCTTGACCAGTGTGTATAGTGGCAGCTTTTTGTTTTTGGATTTTTTGCTGTGCCAGGGATTGAACTCAGGAATTTTCACTTCCCAGGCAAGTGCTCATTCTACTGAGCTATCTCCCCAGTCTTATAGTGGCAGTTTTAATGTGGCATGTGACACCACAGACATAAGTACTAAGAAAAGGCTAATTTGAGTGGATAAATAATCTCACAAAACTCATACAACTGCTTATACTTCAGTCTTTTGTGCAGAAGATAAATCCCTATTCTGCATTCTGGTAGAGGAGGCTGTTATGTGCCCTCCCCTATCTGAAAATGATCCATGAAAATTGTTATGAAACTGAGCTTACTTTTGAGAGAGAAACAAAGGGTGTTTGGGAAGCAAAATTGCACTAATTTATCTGAAGAATAATGACAAGCAATAACACCAGAGGTGTTAGCCAACATAATCTGCAAAAGAATGAAAATCATCATAACCACTGATGTTGCAGCTTGATGCTTGCTGTCTGCTGCTTTCTGCTGCCACGAGCTCTTTCTCTTCTGTGATGCCCCTCTGCCGTACCAACCTGCCATGGAGCCAGCTGAATATGGACTGAAATCTATACAAACTGTGAGTCAAATAAACCCTTCCCCCTTAAACCATGTGAATTTCCCCATGTCCAGCAGAGGACAGCACTGGAACAGAGGGAAAGTTTCCACCCAAGATCTACTGAGCTGTGCCTGAAAGATATTGTACAGTAGAAGTCATACCAGATCATGAAGTTAGGAGCCTATAGTATATATTTTGTTATTTTTTTCTGAAACATTTAGAAAGGGTAAACAGTATAATCCATGGCCTGAAAGTATATTCACAGGCAGAACAGAGATCATGGGATGCACTTTTATTTTTCCAGATTTTGTATTTTGCTTTCTAAAGCCAGGCATTTGGGGATATACATGAAGAATTAATGGATAAACAGATGTTTGGATAATTAGAGGTAGGGGTACTGGAGATAAGAGCTTCATTTACTATAACTGTATTCTCTTCTGAACTTCCCTCTTTAAGAAGGGAGTTCCCTGACCCTGGAGGTATAGAGCAGCAGGCAGAGGCATTGGCCAGAATGTTGCAAATCTACAGGCATCAAATGGGGCTAAATGAAGTGTAATATTGTTTGTGCACTTATGAGCCTACATATTTATGAAGCTCCAGCTCAAGGAAGCTAAGGGATGAGTCCTAAATTCCCAAATAAACAGCTCTGGGGATGTGAGGTGATCTAAAATTTACCAGTTTATTCTGAGGACCCCAGACCAAAACTATGCTGTACCTTAAGACACCTGCTGCTGTACCCGCCACTGAAAAGCTCACAGTACACTGCACTAAAGGTCCCAGAGGGAAAAAGTCTTATGTAAGAAGTTGTTGTGCCAGTTTGTGGCTGGCTGTAATCCAACAGTTGAGTCTGAACTCTAGATAAAAGAGCTTTGATTCAGGCTAGGCCACCTAACTTTGAGCTCCATCAGTCCTCCCAAGAGCTCTGGGGAGGGGGAGGGGTTTTATTTTTTTAATCACCTTATGATTAGGCAATCCAACTGCCTGGGCAAAGCTACAGGAACTGAGCCTCAGCATCTGAAGTGGGACATGAGAACCCCTTCAGAGTTACTTCAGATCTTGCAGGGTGTAGCAGCAGCTGGCCTTCCATGATGAGGATGTATGCTCTGGTTCTGGCTTCTCTCATGGCTTGCAAACCCTGGGGTGAGTCCCTCTGAAATGCAAACCCTTGGGAGCACATTTGGAAATCCTTGTTCTGGAAGAGGTGGGTGGTGATGCTGGGCAATGACAGTTCCACATTCTATAGAGATGTTCACTGCCTGAGTTTGGACTTGAACTTGGAGCAGCCCCGCCACACCTAATGCTACAGAGACAGCAGAGATTCACTGCACACAGCAGTCTCATGAGGGCAATAACCTAACTTCACCCATGAGAAACTAAGAGAGGTCAGTTTATTTTTTCTTTGATTCTTAGCTCAACTGTGGCCCAGTTTTAGAAGATGCTTAGCAGAATAATAAAGATATCAACGAAGGAGCCAGTGTGGAGTTCTGAATCCCAGTTCAGGACTTCTAAGCCATGTGTCCATAAGTGAGATCCTTCCACTGTCGTTGGATCTCTAGAGAGGTAACACCACTGAGGGAAAGGGGAAAAGCCAAAGTCAGGTGGGAGGCATGAGGGGAGTGTGGACAAGGACCTTTATCAGGGATTTCTTTAAAAAGAGGAGGAGAGGCAGGACGCAGGTACAAGGTTGGGTAATTTGAACAACTTCAGGGAATTTTTAGGCACAGGGACTGTTAGTACGATGTCTGGTTGTGCTTCATTAGGGCAAAGTGTACAGTGGCCAGAGATATGAGACCTTGGTAAAGAAGGAGATGTGAGTGTGGGATATAAATGGAAGGGACCTAGGGAGTGGAGTCTCTCCAGGGTCAATAAGGCCTGAGATATAAACATCAGATACAGAAATTAAATAATTCATTAATATAGATATATAGCAAGGAACCTTAACATATATTTGTGCCATTTATTAACTGAGAAACTGAGATTCAGAGTCTCCCCCAAGGATTCCCAGAAAACCATGTCATGGTCTATCCCTGGTTACTGAACCCACAGTAGTACTCAGGTCCTGCCTAGAGACCCCATCTAGGTATTATCTTCTGGTCTTTGGCCATAGAGAGATTTAAAACTGCCTGTAAGGCAGAATTCAGAGTTACCCAAATTTACAGTGGAGCACACCTCCACTACTAGTTACCCTGGAAATACCAGCCACTTCCAACTTTAGGAAGTACACATAAGCTGTTTCTACTTCCTCCTTTTCATCCTCTGTAACTTGCCTCTCCTAAAGCCCACACAGCAAAGTTTTTGAAGGATTGAGTTAAGGGAATTGAAATGCACATCTGGCATATAGTAACTGCTCAGTGTGTACCAAGTCCATGTAATCTAAGAGGAGACTGTTATTGTTACCATCATTGGTTAAGCCTCCCATACTATTCACATGTATACTCTGGGCAGTCTTGCTTCTACCAACCTCATTTGGCTGGAAAGTTGTTATTGGGCTAATGCAGACCATGACTAAAGATTTCTCCCTTGACTTTATCCTCCTTCAGCTCTTTGAAGCATCAGCACTCCTGCCAGCCCCTCTTCCTCTTCTCTCTGGGCTTCCCTGATACTGTGCCCTTCTCCTGCCACCTCTCTCATGGATGTACTCAATGTCAGCTGTCATTTAATCTCTGTGCTTTATCCTTAGCTGGTTCCTCTCACACGGGTGTACTCCAACACCCACGTTGTGCACCCTCAGCTTCAGGTGGATGCCTCTGTCTCCTTTCAGAGACAGAAAGACCTCCTCCTATGGCATCTTCTCACCAGGATTCCCACTTACTCCTCCACTGCCCCTGTCTAACACGGAGCCAGCATCACACACAGGCACTTGAGTCCCTTTCTTTCCTTTCACTTCCCATACAGAGGCTGTCTTCAGAGCTAATTACAGGCATCACTGTGTGTCCTCACAAAATTATTCTTGTAGTTCTCAAGGGAGATCTAGGATCCATGCAGAAGATTTGAAAAGAACAAAGAAAACATTAATCCACATTGTCACCACCAGTGGGCATCTCAGTATACACATACACTTGCATTTATGATGAGATTATGTCCTGATAATCTTGTGTTCAAGAGGTTGAAACCTATTAAGATAGAACAATAGAAGTTGGAGAGAGTTGGTAGATGCCTCCCGGGAAGTGTGGTTCATTGTTATCTGCAATAATTAGCAACAATAACAATCAACCGAAATCCACAGTATGTAATTGACTATTGATACCAAGAGACACTGAGTCTGCTTTGTAATCTGGTTTCCTGTAAAGAGCTTTCAAGGCCACTGGCTGTCTTTTTTAAGATCAAATATGGATTATGCTCTTCTGTTCTGTCACTTAGTCTGAGGAGGCTGCTGACATATTATTTATATTTGAATTCAGGCAAGTGGAAGAAGACTATAAATCATGTCCAATGAGTCACTATTGTCAAATTGAGACTGTGGAGGCAAGACAAGACAACTGCAAGATGGCCATGATTGTGTGAAAATCTACCTGAAAGATTCACTCTCTCTGATCCCACATGGGTAGAACTAGGACTGATGAGCAACTAGGGAAATGAGGAATAATTGTCTGCTTCGCAAAGAGGGAAGTAAAGCAGACAGGAACAAGAATTGTTAGAATAAAGCAGACAGGAGCATGAGACCTACTCTTATTCCCCTCCACAGGCATTCTTAGAGTCATCTGAAGAATATTCTGGAAGCCTATTATGTCCTCTAAGCCAGACTATTCCTGCTTACTTGTTTGTTAAATTAAACCCAATCCCATAGCCTGGCATATGAGGTCCTTCCTGGCATTCACCTGCTCGCTCTGTGATGATCTTTCATGCCCCATGGCCTCATCTGGTGGAAACCACAGGACACTTGCTTTTTCCTACCTAGTTCCTGTCTTTCTCTGTTTTCAAGTCTCAGCACACTCACTTATGACTACTTTATACCCCTGCAGCTTCTATCTTCCTTTACTCACTCCCCGCTGCTGCAAATCCATGATGGGACCAATCGGAGCCCTCATTCACTCTGCCAACTCCTTCAGCACCTTCCTAGCTCTTCTCACAAGCAGCAACCTCCTTCTTCTCAGAATTCCATTAAATGTTTGTGTGGCTCCACCTCCTACAAGCTCAGTCCCCCTGAGAATGGGAGCCACTTCTTCTTCATTCTCTCCTCAGCATGTACTTCAGCACCAGAATCTTAAAAAACACCAGCTTACAGAAGTTTATGCATGGGAAACTCAAGGCCTTGTTCATTCTTCCTTGCAGCACCTCTCCCCTTTTCATTCATTTTATAGTGAATGCTTTTATGTCTCAAATTCTAGTTTGTTCTTTCAAGCAGCCCTCTGAGGAAGGACAGATTTTCTTATCCTCATCTCACATAAGAAACTATTTTCCCATGTTTATTTTACATAAGAAGCCTCCTATTTTACATATAAGAGGGCTAGATGATGTAAGCGATTAGTTCAAGGTCACTGGCCTGAATGTGGCAAAACACATCTGGACTGGAGAAGTAATGTTCCCCTCTGATGAGTCTTCTCCTCTCCTTGTCTGACAGGGGATGTGCTCTCTCCCCCAGTGGTAAATACTCTGTATGGCAAAGTTCTGGGGAAATACTCTATCTTGAAAGGATCTGCACAGCCTGTGGCCATCTTCCTGGGAGTCCCTTTTGCCAAGCCCCCTCTTGGATCCCTGAGGTTTGCTCCTCCACAGCCTGCAGAGCCATGGGACAACGTGAAGAACGCCACCTCTTACCCTCCCATGTAAGCTGGTGAGGCAGTTTTGGCATCTTTCAGTGAGCTTGTTTGTTTCAGCATGATGCAGAAAAGACAAAATCTTCCTCTAAGTAGCTCACACTTTGGTCTGAAATCCTGGAGAACACTATAGATGTTTATAAACATCCACAATCCATCACATTTGTGTACAGCTGTTTATTCAGCACACATTTATTATTTAAATATTTTGTGCCAAACACTTTATAGTTTCTCAAAAGCCATTTATGAGTGAAACATGGATTCCTAGGGGGCTTCCTGGAACTTACTAAAGGGAGAGAGAGAAACAAAAGGTAAGGTTTAAAAAAATGAGTAACATGATATGTTATAGTATAAGTAGTAATTACTGTTTTGGAAAATAATTAGTTGAAAAGGTGAGGTCTGTAAGCAGTACTCTTTTCTGTTTTATCTTGAACTTGACTAACAATTTGTGTGTGGCAGGACATACTGATCTTGCAAGTTCTTCACTCCCAGCTGTATCTAAATTCAATTCTTCAGTAAGCACAGAGGAATGGTTCATGTTCTCTATCCAACCTGCCAAGATTGGACAAAAAAACAGTCCCCACTAACCCCCATGCACCACACTTTTGTAGATTTTTTTTTAATTTCTTTTTCGTTATCTTACTATCTTCCTTTGTGATTAAGAGGTTTTCTCTTGTAGTACTTTTGATTGTTTGCTTTTTAATTTTAGGGTATCTATCACAGATTTTTGCTTTGCAGTAACAAAAAACTTATAAAAACATCCTATAGTATAAATATTATAAATATTTTAAATTCATGGCACCCTAAGTTTGATTTTAAAAAAAAACCCTGCACTTGGCATCTATTCTTCCCATTTTAAATTTTTGAAATCATGTATTTTTGTCTGGTTATCATTAACAAATACATGTAGCTACTATTTTTAATAGCATCTTTTTAAAGATAGAAGTTGTATATGTAGTATAATTATAATTTTTGCGAAGTAATACCTGTCTGTTTATTTACCTGGCTAGTGAAAGTGAACAATCTTTTCATTAAAGTAAAAAATCATGTCTTACATTGGTATCATTTTCTTTCAGTTTGGAGAGTTCCCTTTAAACCGTTTTGTAGGATGAATCAGGAGAAAACTGACTTGAATGCCCTTGGTCACATATAAATAACCTTGGTTGCTGTTTGTCTGGGAAAGGCTTGGTGGAGCGGCCTATTGCGATGTTTGCTTCGTTTCTCTCACTGCATTCAAGGTTTTCTCTTTGTGTTCAATTGTTGAGTACAGGATTATACATCTTGTTGTATGGTCTTTGGAATTGATATTAATATGTGGGGCCAGGGAGATGGCTCAGTGGAATAAACACTTGCCTGGCAAGAGCAAGGGCCTGAGTTCAATCCCCGGTTCCACCAAAAAAAAAAAAAAAGTGGGTATTATCTGTATATTAACATATTCCTCCAGGCTTGGAACATGCTCTTGTCATCATTCCTTCTGACCCTTTCTCTTCCATCCCCTCTTGAACTCAAATAACATGAATATTTGATAATCATATTGCTGATTTATGCTGGTCTACAGAGTGGTGCAGTTGAGGCTTAAGGGGTTTTTTGTACTTAATTCCTTATAATTTTTTATTTTTTTATTTTTGCTCCGAATGCCTTCAGGGCAGATTTGGCTGCCTTGAGTTCTGGGGATCGAACCACAGCAACCTGAGCCTGACTGCTTTGTTGAAGCAGCCACTTAAAGAGCTGAGCTAAGGGGCAAGCCTCCTCCTTATAATTTTTTAAAACCAATTTTGCATGCTTATGCCTAGTAATATGAACAGCTAATGTGAAGACAGCATTATGCAATATAGCAATCATTGTTGAATTCCTACTGTTTTGTTTGGGGGAAGTTCTGCATCTTTTCTCATGTTTCTTCTTTTTCTTTTCTTTTTTACTATTTTGTATTCTCTTTAGATAACAAAAAATTTTTAAACCTGAATGTTTTATCCTTTTATGTTGTCCAATAGATCTCATCTGGACATAAGTTCACTTCATTCCTTCATATTCTGCTTTTGTCATTTATGTTTGCTTGGAGTTATTATCTTTGATTAGAACAAATTTGCAGAATATAACAATTACATTCCTTGTGGGGAGCTTGTGCAGATACATAACACATCTTAGTACTTTTCATCCCCTCTCTCTCCTTCCCTTCCAACTCCCTTCATCTCTCCAACCCCCTCTTCCACTTGAAAAAGATCTAACTGCCTATTCCCTATTATGTATCTTTTGTTTTGCTCTTTAATTTATTTATACTTTGGGTTTTCATGTAACAGAAACCATGTAACATTTAAACTTCTATGTCTGATTTATTTCACTTAATAGTATGGTTTCAAGATAATACATTTTCCTACAAATTATTCAAGTGTATCCTTTGTGGCACAGTAGTGCTCCATTGTTTGTAAATACCACATTTTTTTAATCCACTCATCTGTTGATAGACATATTGTATACTTCCAAGATTTAACTACTTTGAATTATGCTGCTGTAAACATGAGTATGTATGTATCCCTGTAACAGGATGTTTTAAACACTTTGGGGAAGATATCTAAAAAGGGAACAGCTAGGTCAAATAGAATTTCTAGTTTTAGTTTTTGAGGAAACTCCATACTGATTTGATAGTGATTTCACTAGTTTACATTCCCACCAGCAAGGTGGAAAGGGTCCTTTTCCTCTTCAGCCTTACTAACATCTGTGACTGGTTGATTTCTCTATGACTACCATTCTTTCCTAGGTAATGTGGAATCTCAGTGTTGTTTTAATTTGTAATTTTTTAATGACCAGTGATGTTAAATATTTTTTTCCATGCATTTGCTGGCCATTTGTATTTCTTCTGTGAAGTGTCTTTACATTTCACTTGGCCATTTTTGATTGGGTCTTTTATTTGGGGGAGTCTAATTTTTTGAATTCTTTATAAATATTTTATATATTAGTCCTATGTCTGAGGAATAGCAGGGAATTTTTTTCTCATCTGTAGGTTCTTTTTTTGTTCTTCACTGTGTTCTTTTTTTGTAAAGAAGTTGTTTTAATTTGTTATGATTCTATTTCTTGATTCTTATTGCTATTTCTTTTGCTGGAGTATTGTTCAGAAATTTCTTACCTATGCCTATGACTTCAAGAGTTTTAGCTATATTGTTTTCAAACAGATTTAGTGTTTTTGTTTAAATTTCTAGATGTTTGATTTACTTTTATTCTAGTTTAGATATGGCCTTGGATTCAGTCTTCTCCATGTGGATAGCCTTTTTCCCCAGCTTTGTTTATAGAAGAAGTCATCTTTGCTCTGGTCAATAGTTTTTGCCCTCTTACTTCTCCTCTGTGTTCACAAATAGTCCTCTTTCCAGTTCTCTACTTCTTTGTTCCACTTGATGAAGTCTGTTGTTGATGTTTGGTAATGCACTTTTCATTTCATTCAGCTGTACTTTTCAGCTGCAGAATTTCAATTAATTTTAACATTTCAATCTCCCTGTTTGATTTTTTTTTTAAACGGAACCAGGGATTGAACTCAGGCCCTTGCACTTGCCAGGGAAATGCTTATTCCACTGAGTCATCTCCCCAGCCCCCAGTTTGATTTATGAATCGTTTGTCTTCATGCTCTTGAAATCTTTCAAGCTCTCTTAAAACAAACAAGACCTTGGTTATTTGGAATTATTTTTCTAAAAGACGAGGCTTGTCCCTCACTAACTGTCACTCCCTGGTGCCTAACACTGTTCACTGAGCTCATATTTTTCTGAATATCCTTGATAATTGTGGTCCTGTTACAATATCTGCACACTGATTTCCAAAGACTTTAAGCAGACTTAGTGCTGTGCTCTCTGATCCTATGATCTTTACAAACATAGGCATTGTTGTCAGCCCAGATTTGCAATGAATCTTATAAGGATTCCATGGCTGCTGGGGCTCTCTGATCCAGATAGACCTGGGAGGGAAAGAACCAAGGACGAGACCCACACAGTGTTGAAAGGTGCCCAGGGGCACAAACTGAAGCTGGCCTCAGTGGTCAGAAAGACACATTCCCCAGCTCTTTCCATGTAGAGGAGCAGCTGCTTGACTGCTGATATAGCATCCAGACCTGAGACTAATTCACCTCAGAATCTGCTGCAAGGTGGATAATGGTGAGCTCATGCATTGTACTATGGATAGCTGTCCCATAGCAGTGCCTTGTACAAGTCAGATAGTTCCTTCACAATCACAGAAAGGTTTAGAACTGAGATCAGGCCCCCTTGTAATCTGCTGCTTGATTGGGATAAGATGTCAAGGGTTTCTTACTCTGCATAGCCTTTGGAGACTCTAGGAGTTCCCAGAGTCCCCACAAAGACACCTATATAACCTCCAGTCCATTCCTGTGTCTTGGGTCTGGTTATAGCAGCCCTACTGATGGAAATAAACCACCCTGTTAAAGGCTTTGTCTGGGCTCAGGAGAACTTGGCTTATATATGTTTCAATCTCAGGGCTTCTTTCATCTCTCCTCACCAGGTGTTCCCAACTTACAGGAGAAGGGCCAGTGCTCTCTGAGGTCTTTACGAACAGACTGGAAAACATTCCTCTTGAGTACTCAGAAGACTGTCTTTACTTAAACATTTACTCTCCTGCTGACCTGAAGAACAGAAGCTGGCTGCCGGTAAGCAATGGGAATAAGGGCTCCACCCTTGAGACTTTCAGCATACAGAACATTTCAGTGTAGGTTGGAGTGGGCAAAGACAACCCAAGGCAGAGGTATCTTGGTCCATACCCCTGGCTTTATTTGACCACAGGAAAAAAAAATGTGTGATATCTCAGTTTCCTGCAGTGCCATCAAGCTTCCAGAAGAGATTGCTACACATATAAAAGGCATATTTTATTTTTTTCTAAGTTCTCTCAAAAAATAAAAAGAATATTATTTTTTCTTTAGTTGCTAGTTTAAGAACTTAATGTGCATCTCATATAAAAAAGTAATTTCCAATAAAATTGGAGCTTAGAATAATCCTTGAGACAAACCAGTAACACAACTTTTTTTTTTAAACTCAGGGTTTGCACACATTACATAATAGCTTTACCTATTATGGGGTAGCCGAAGCTATACCGCATCCCAAATGCTTTCTTTAAAGAAAGATCGAGGAAGGTGAGCTCACGTATTAGAATAAATTGGACAAGAACTTTTGTTTGTTATCTTTAAGCCAAAAGACTAGGTAATAAAACCAACTGTGTTGCCTTTGCTAACATGCCAAGATACACCTGTGAAAAATTTCACTGTCTCTTAACAAAAGTGTTAGAAGGAGGAATCTCTGATAACTGCAAAAGTGCTTCCTTTTTCTGCCAGCCAAACATCTAGGATTTTTTATTGGCACTTTCTTCCTGCATTGTATGTAACACAGCTCATAATTTGTGAGTCAGTAATTCAAAATGAAGTAGGCTGTTACTTGCATGCCAGATGGTTGGGAGGATCTACTGAAGGAGAGGAACCCCTGGGCTATAAGGGGGTGAGTTTTAGGACCTATTAGGTCTCCCAAGTACATCCTGATTTGGACCCCAGGAGTGAGGGAGCAGGTTCAAACTTGTAGATTAGAAGTTGGTCACACATGTGCTTTTTAAGGCATAAGGACATGGGGACAAGTGCTTCTGCCTTCTTTCATCCTTATATTATGTATTCGTTGTCCCTTCATGCACAGACTTGGGGGTTTGGATAACATGAAACCATGACTACGTAGACCCTACTTTCAAAGATCTTGCCTTCTGGGCTGCACAGATACATCTTAAATTCTTCAGCACATCATTGCCAACCAGCCTTGGGGTCCAGTTTTCAGTCTCAGATTACCTCAATTCAATACCTACACTAGATACAACAGTGGTCAAAGGTGTGAGATAAATATGGGTCCTGACACTCTGTGTCCTTCTATCTACAAATACAGATTATGGAACTACAGAGAGAGGGTTGAGTTTAAACCCCATGTCTGATTTTGCCTGGATGAGACCCTTGGACAATTTTTATACTTCTTCAATTCTGTGTTTCCTCAAATGGGATTAGTTACATATGAGTACTCAGTGATGACTGCCAAGATTTATCTTAGTCCTGGCTAAATACACAGAGCCAGGGCTGATGACACAGGAGGTGGAACTGCAGGATCTTCTTCTTGTTCTAACAGCCACCTTACTATGCTGTGGCCAGAAGGCAGGTTAGCAATGAACTCTGGGTCCAGACAGCCTGGCTCAAATTCTGATGCTACTGCTTATTAGCTGCAGGAACTTGGACAGTTTAAGTACCTCAATTTTTCTGTCAATGGGGCAAATATTAGTACCTATCTTGTAGATAGTTTATTTCTTAAAGTACATAGAACTGTTTGTGATATATGGTTCATGTCATAAATTTTTTTATTTATCAAGCAATACTATTATAATGTTAATTTTCCACTCATTATTTATGTCTAATAAGAGCTTTTAAAAAACAGGTTAAGAATTGTTAGGGCTGGCCTAATAGCTCGGCAGACTAAGGCACCTGCTTAGACAGGCATAAGGGCTGGGGTTCAATTCCAGACATGCAGTGCCAGCTCCACCCCTGGGGCACACTGAGATGGCAACTGAGACTAGGCATGGTGGTATGTGTATATAATTCCAGTGCTTAGGAGGCTAAAAACAGGAGGATCACTATGAATATAATCTGTGTAGTGAGACCCTGTAGAACCTGTACTAAAACACATTTTAGAAAATGACTGCACCTCCTTATTCCTTCAAGTCTTATCACAGACTTGGCACATAGTAGGCACTCAGACTCAGATGTCAGTCAAATGATGAAAGGCTTCCTGAAGACAGGTAGTATGAGCTGGAAATAGGAAGTGGGTAGAATTTGTGCTGCAGAGAAGGCAGCAGTTAGACAAACTAAGAAGAGACACCATCAGACGCATGTTTGATTCTTAAGAAATCTGTCCTGCACAGGGACATTGAATTCACAGATAAAGGATTAACTACAATGAAGCTGAAATACCACAGCTGCCCCATAGTTGCATTCATCTAGCTGAATGGTCCAGGCATAAGGATGTTAGGGTGTTAGGAAGAACATGACATCCTAAGCCCTTTCTAGTCCTGTGATGGCATTCTCAGTTTGGAGGGTCCTATGAGGGTGTGTCATTGGGTCCAGGAGGAAGGCAGGTACCCAGTGGGTGTCAAGTAGGGGAGTATCCAGGGCCCAATCTGAGAGATCTGGGGAGGTGAGATTGCTTTACACAATCTTATTGGGTACTTTGGACTTTGGGTTATAACCTCCTTAGTCTTGGACAAGAGATAGGAAACAAAATCAGACAATTCACCCTCTGTCCTTCTTGCTCTGCTTCTTATAACCAGTATGGTTGTGTCTTCAGGTGATGGTATGGATCCATGGAGGTGGTTTATTATCTGGTGGGGCATCAACATTTGATGGAGTGCCACTTTCTGCCCATGAGAACGTGGTGGTGGTGGTCATTCAGTATCGCCTGGGAATCTGGGGATTTTTTAGGTAAGACACTGGAGTCTTCTCACTTCATATTTCTTATACACAAAAGCTTTTAACTGAGTTGTGGTCTTGCAAGTACTCAAAGGGATCTTAGATATGTTCCTTAATAAAGCATCTATATTTCTTTAAATTTGGACCTCACTTACCCTCTTATTGCCTAGTCAAATTTGTCCTCTTGCTTCTGACTTTTTGCTACCTGTGAAGGCTGTTCAACTCATCTGGTTCCTATTTATCCCTCATGACCCAGTTCTTGTATCTCTTTCCCTTCTGTTGCCCTAGCACACTGTGCTCCTCTTTTGTGACACTGAGAAGGCAGCAGAACAGCTCAATTTAAATATATCTTCTCAGGGAAAGGAAAGAAGTTGCTTTGTGGAGCGAACTCAGTGAATGCTTATAAGTGAAGGAGTGGGTGGCTGGAGAGGGACACTGTCAGAACATCTGACTCCAGCAGGTTGTGTGTCCTGGAGAAGTGCAGGAATCCCCCAGCTCATTTCTTTGTTGGTATTTGGCACACGCAGGATTAAGATAATAGTTCCTTTTCTCTACCACATTGCCTTGGAGTAAGAACCAGATTTTCTGCAGTGTAGAGTGACTGAGTACCTCTTGAGGGTGTGTGCCCCAGAACATATGACCTCTAGATAACTGACAGGTGGTCTGGGGCTGGAGCCCTGGGCACAGCTAAGAAGACTATGGAACTGGAAGAAGCTTCAGGTCTACTGTTAATGGGTTACCCTAGGCCATATATGTCCCCTTCTCAGGTGTCACTCCTTTCTCACTCAGGGACAGTGTTTCGGCTTCCTGTTCCAGTAGCCAGCCACAGAGTGTTTCTCCAACCCCTCCCCCTCATCTCTCTTCTGCCCATTCCAGGCATGTTGTCATTTAGCCATGCCTTTGTGCTGTTCAAGGTCACTTTGGATCAACCTTATGTGACCTCCCAGTAGCACTCATAAATACCAGTCAGCCTCTTTAAAATGTTCTCTTCCCCTGTATCTGGCCATTTATCACCTCCTACTTGCTCCTTTTCAGAACTTTTGCTGGTTTTGATCACTCCCAATCTCAGGTTTCTGTTGTCTTTCTCTCTTCTAATTCCCTGAGTGATCCCTGTGTATGGATTTCATCTTTAACTATACCCTCTTTGTCCCCAGAAAGTGTGTTGGTGACCTTCTATTAATGGGGACAGGTTGAACCCTTGATTCCCACTACAACCCACCCCCAAGCTCTCTTCCTTTCCCACAAGATCCACTGCACAGTTGCCAAAGCTTTATCCTTCCTGTTGCTCAGGGCAAAGTTTTCAAGGGCAGCCTGGACTTTCCCCCTTTTCTGCACCCATATCTAGTTGGCCAGCAAATCTTCCTTCCCCCACCTTTAAAATATATTCACAAGCCAACTCCTTCTTACCTTATTCCTTTCTTGCATCCTGTTCAACATTTTGTGTCCCCAAGCCTGAACGTTTCATATGCTGGCTCCTCCACAACATAGTAAAATAATTGTTCAACACAGATTGAGTCTGTCTCACCTTTGCGGAGGAGTCCCAGCTTCCTTATGAGGACATCTGTAATTCCAAAGGCAGGGTAGTTTCAGGCCGGAAGCAGAATCTCAAGCTATCCTTGGTTAACAAGCTCACAGAAAATGCTCTAGGCTTTTGCTTCTAAACCATCATGCTCTGGAAGGCCACTGGGCCTGTGATGGGAATGGCTATCTCACAGCTTTATGAGGTGGTCTTAACTGGTCCTTTTTCCAGTTGTCCCAATAATTAACGTCCCTGCTAATCTCTAACAAGTAGTCACTTAGCTCATCCCTATATATTTTTTCTTTGTTTCTCTGCTATCCAAGCTGCAAATTTTCTAAATCTTTCCACTCTGCTTTCATTTTCTCCCCAGTCTTACCCTAAGTCTGGCTAAAAGCAGTCAGTGTTATCAAAATCATAGCCTGAATGCTTGATGCATAGAAATTTCTTCCACTAAATAAATCACCCTACTACTCTCAAAGTTAGCCTTCCATGAAGCCTAGGGCATGGATCTAGTTCATGACAGTTCCTTGCAATAATTTAACAAGGATAAAAACTATATCTCTACACTTTTGTCATTTGATCCCTTAAGAGAATCACCCATAACATACCACTTACAGCATTTTAGACATTTACTAGTCTCTTTCTCCAAACTTTCCTAATCTTTCGAAAGTTACTTCCACATTTTTAAGTAGAGCTGTATCAATGAGCCTACTTTTCAGTACCAGCTTTCTGTACTAGTCCATTTTCCTCTGCTATAGCAAAGTACTTGAGGTTGGAAACATCATTTTAAAAAGGTTTAACTTATAATTTTGAAGTCAAAAATTTCAAACAACATGGTGCCAGATACAGTAAGGATCTTTTGGCTGATGGCAAATGCCACCATGATAAGAACACAAGTGACAGTAAGAGAAACCAGAGAGTAAAAAGGGGCAAGTCTTGTTCTTTTGTAACTCACCGCTTTCATAAGCTAACCTAAGCCCCAAGAATAACTAATTACTAGTTCTTCATAAAGGGATCTTCCTAAAGGGAGATCCTCCACATGCCAATCATTTTCCTCCAGTGTCCATCTATTCAGAGTCCTACCACTTTCCAAAATCATTATACTGGGAACCGAGCCTCCTGCACATGAGCCCTTGTGCAACAAGCCGCATGCTACTGTAGCAAGCCCTCAGGCCACCTGAGGTCCCAAGAGCTCTCCATGATATCTCTGTCCCTTCTCCTTTCACCCTCTCCATGTTTTCTTACAGCACTGGGGATGAACACAGCAGGGGAAACTGGGGGCACTTGGATCAGGTGGCTGCACTGCGCTGGGTCCAGGACAACATTGCCAACTTTGGAGGAAACCCAGGCTCTGTGACCATCTTTGGGGAGTCAGCAGGAGGTGAAAGTGTTTCTGTTCTTGTAAGTGTTCTGGCAACCAGACCCCTTCCCAGGTTTCATGAGGCTGCTGTCAGGATGTGCTAGAGATCAGCCAGTCCAGCTATAGGCATCTTTGCTGACAAGTCCTGGATTTGGGTCTGACTCTGCTCATTACACTGCATCAGAGGGTGGAAGGCCAAGGTCAAAATCTCTCCTTCATTCTCAGGAAACTCATTGTAAGGTCCTGGAGCCACAAAAATCTCTAGCTGTATCCGCACCTTCCTCTTATACCTTGGATGTCTCTCTGTCTCTGTCTCTGTCTCCCTGTCTCTCCTTGTCTCTGTCTCTCTGTCTCTCCTTTCTGTCTCTCCTCTCTCTCTCTCTCTCTCTCTCTCTCTCTGTCCTTCTACTTCCTAATTATTTAACACTAAGGCTTACTTTACATAGTGGTGGGTGTGGCTGAATGATCATTGTTTCCTGAGATACGCTCTGAATGATGGAAATGTTGAAACATAACTTGTGTCTGGAATTTGCCAAGCTGTCATTCCATTATTTGGATTGTCAGGATATGCCACAAATGTCCTGTTTGGCACCTGACTCTGGAATCTCGCTCTCCCCTCTTAAGGTTATGTTGGGGAAGCTGAGAGTTACAGTGAGTCCAGGAATCAAAGAAGGCCAGATGAGGAGCTGTCATGTGTACTGAGTCCCAGAGTCTCCTGAGCTAGGCTAAGGCCCATGAAAGAGCCTTGAAGGAGAGAGTGAGTCACTGAGCATCCTCCCTATGAGCATAAATTCTCCTCTACACTTCCCTGCCAGGTATTATCACCCCTGACCAAGAACCTCTTCCACCGGGCTATTTCTGAGAGTGGTGTGGCCCTCACTCCATGTCTGTTCAGGAGGAGCACCCAGCCTGCAGCTCAGGTAGGTCTCACCTGGACAGCCTTTCACCATTTCCTAAGTTGTGGAAGAATCCACAGGGGCCTTTCTGGTAATGGGATTCAATTGAATCATCAAAGAATCACTGAAGTGGCAATGGTTGAATCTGAGGAGAAGCAATCCCCAGTACCACAAAAAAAAAAAAAAAAAAAAAAAAAAAAACTAAGGAGAAGAAGACACCTTGTTTGTCCTCCTAATTTATAACTAGAGCACTGGGGTAGAGCATTAAAAACAATGCATCAAGTGCAGAGGTGGAAGCAGAGCTCACATCATTAGACAGCTGGTAAAGCACTCTATTTACTGGCCACTTTTATCACCAAAGTGCATCAAGACAGGTTGCTGGGCTGGGCAGTAGGGAGTGGCCTGTGATTATTTCATAGCTCTATCATGTTCTGACACCTACTTAAGTGATATGGATCTGGAAGGATTTCTCAGGGAAACTTCATGACCAGGGTTGCTTTCTGCAGAACCCACCCATTCATCCACTCAACACATAGTTTGACATATCCATATGCCTTGCAACCTTTCAAAGTATCAGTTCCATTTGAGGAGGTTGTGTAATTATGCAAATGATATGACTTGAACTATGACACAATGAATGAAGGAGAGATAACAGAATCTGATGTTCTAGCAGAGCCCTAAAGAAGCATTTAGCCTAAGTGTGGTAGAAGGGTTATTAGGAAACACTTTCTGAAAAAGTGATACATGAGGCAAAATTGGAAAGGTAGACACTGTGAGTATAAGACAGTGAAAGAAGACTGATATGGCCAGACCAGAGAAGCCAGGGGAAACTCAGAAAGAAGGGATGGTGAGAACATAGGCAGAGACCATACAGAATGGAACTGTGATAAAGAGTTTGTATTTACCTGAATAGCAGTGGGAGGCTAAAGCTAAGAGTGTTCAACATCTCTTCTGAGGGACTTGTCTGAAGACTCTTCTGAGGACTGGCTTTTCAGAGCACTATGCATTGGAGCTCGTGATGTGGAGGGCTTGGGTTAACCTGTGAGAGCTGGTGTTGGTGGAATCACTGGTGTAGCATCCATAGAGAGCAAGAGGGAAGAAATGCAGGCACCAAGAATTTGTAGAATTTAGAAACAAAAATGCTAGTACATGTTGACAGTACATAATGTTTACGTTCATCATAGGAAGTAGGTATATATACTTAACATACTTTGATTCTTTTTACTCCCTTGCTCCCTTTCCTCTTCCCTCTCTAGATCCCCTTCCCTTGTTATCTTTCTTTCTAATTTTTTTAGTTTATACTTGTGACACATGATTAGCATGATTAGAATGATTATCCATCAGTCATCATGGATAATTGGTACAAATCCTTGAGACATCTTAATTACTTTTATGTCTAATTCCCCTTCTTTCTCCCACCCATCTTCCATCTCTCGGTCCTTTTCCCAAAAGATCTATCTTTCTGTTTATTTTATCTATAGTTTATTTATAGGAAAATATGTACCTTGTGAAAATTTGACATTAAGTGAAGTAAGTCAGACACACAAGCTTAAATACAAGATCAGACTGTGCATGGTGGTGAGTGCCTGTAATCCCAGCACTTGGGAGGCTGAAAACAGGAGGATCACTATGAGTCCAATCTGTGTAGTGAGACCCTGTAGACTCTGTACTAAATACATTTTTTAAAAAACCACAATATGGTTTCTCTCTTAAGAGAAATGTAAAGTATAAATAAAAATTAAAATAAAATAATTTGTAGAACTTTTGAGACTTTGGGTTTTTTCTAAATTCTTCAATCATTTATTGATACAGGGTATCACTACACAGCTGGAACTCAAGGTAACCCTCCTGTCTCAGCTTCTCTAGCACTGGGATTACAGGCACATGTGTGCCACCACACTTGGTTTTGGTGGCCAGCACAGCATGCTGCACCAGGGATCAAACTCAGGCCTTTGCTCTTGCCAGGCAGGTACTTAGACTGCTGAGCTATCTCCCCAGCCCAGAAAATCTTTTTTAGATTGTGTTTTCTAAGGTAACCTATGGTAAGAAAGTGTTATAAGAATTGTTATACACATGTAGGCTGATCACCAATCTGATTTTGACAATTGAGTAAAAATATTTTTATTCATATTCTTAAGATTAGAAAACTTGCCCAAATGGAGCCTAAGTGATTAAAATTTTAAATTTATATGACTACACTGGTGTTCTTTCACATAGTTTTATTTTTTATTTATCTTTGTAATGTAATTAGTACAGGATCTCACTGCACTGATCAGACTCATAGTGATCCTCCTGTTTTCTGCCTCCCAAGTACTGGGATTAGAGGCACATGTTACCACGCCCAGTATTAGTCACCATCTCAGCATGCCTCAGGGGGTGGGGCTGGAACAGTACGCCAGGGATTGACCTCCTGGTTGCTGTGCCTACCTAAGCAGGCTCTTTAGCCTGCTGAGCTCTCTGACCAACCCCTTCACATATTTTTATTTGAGATTTTGTTCTGAATTCTTTGATTACTGGCAACATGGCAAGGTTCAATTCAAGGAGGAACTTATTATTCACAGAAACAGAGGTAGCAGGTATGAGGTAATAATTTGAGCAAACAGAAAAAAGAAATTACACAGTGAAGGAAATCCAACATTTTTGCTCTATCGCTTTCCCTTTCCTGATTCCCTCTTTCCCTCCTTTTCTCCTTCCCTCCCTGCCCCCTCCTTTCCTATCTTCCTCCCTATTTTTCTCTTCCCTCTTTCCTCTTCCTTCCATCCCCTACAACCAACCACATATGAGGTGCTGGGGATCTCAGACATACTCACCATGGCCCACCATCATGCAGCATGTCTCAATCTATCTAAGACTTCTTCCTCTGCCAAAATTTGCTTCCAGTACATATGACCACCACATCTGTCTGTGGGCATAGAAACTCCCCTTGGGTTTCAGAGTAGTAGCTTTTTTTTTCTGTTTTTGAAAATGAGCAGTTTACTTAACAGTTCTTTCTACTGATGAAATTCAAAAACAGCGTTATAGTTAGGGATTGCAGAGGAAAGGAATTAATACAGGATCCATAAATTAGAGGATTATTTTATAACATTAACCCAAAGAGTCAATTGTAAAAGAGCACAAAGATCTGTCCACACACTAGAGACCCCAAGAATCCAGCTGAGGGCTCAGATCTCACAGCAAAATCCTCCACAAGTCTAGCTGAAGACATAAAGTCCACAGCAATCTCTTCCATGAATCCAACTAGAGCCCACAACAATGTCTCCTGCAAGTCTGAATCAAGGATCTGTAATGGGAAGGCCCAAAGAGCAGTGTGGAAGCTGGAAAGTCTGTAACAGCAGGATGAAGGTTCTGTGCCAGCAGACTTAGGCCAAGGGGTCTGCGCTGAAGCCCAAAAGCAACACTCAGGGTAGAGCTCCCTTGAAAAGAACCACAGCCATCCTCAGTGACAGGAAGGACCTGAGCTCCTCTGATGATGAGAGCAGCTAAGTTAATATCAGGAAAGCCAGCACAATGCACTTCTCTAGAGATCAACAACACACCATCTTTCTCTAGTTCTCTTTTTATGCTGTTGGCAATAATTCTTAGCTGGGTCTTCCACGCCCAGCATCACACTGATTGAATTCAGCTGTGTGTCACAGAGTGACCTTTAGTTAATTCACTACAACCACAAAATAGAATTTGGGATTCCATTCTTACAATACCAATCCATACTGCTCTTCTTCGTATATTCAGTTTTTAGATCATCAAACCATTTTAACACTATAGAAGACTTAGCTATTGTCAAAGTTTTAGTAACTAAAGAACACTGTGGAAAACAGACACAATACCTCCTAGTGTAGAATATTTCTGGCTAGTGCTTCCCACTGTTGCATTCAAAAATGTAGCATGAAATAAAATGCTCCTGTCTGCACTTATAAAGGCAAGGGACATTTCTCGTGAACTCTTCTGTTGCCTGTGATCTCTGCAGCAAGTTGCTATTATGGCTGGATGTGGAGCCACCACATCAGCTGCCATGGTTCACTGCCTGCGCCAGAAGACAGCTGAAGAGCTCTTGATGGTCACACTGGAAATGGTAAGCATGTCCATTCTCCTGGCCCTGCCCTGGCCCTTGGCCCTTGACATCAGCACATCAGCTCTCTTGCTCTAAATAAATCGCCTGGGACAATCTCTCACCTACTGAAGGTCAGCCCTCCTGATCCAAACTGGGAATTTTGTATCTCCATTTTTATTGAAAAATACCTTAAATACTAAAAAATACCCAAAAATAGCATAACAAAATTGTATAATTTCCCAAGTCCCAAAACATAATATTTTGCCATTATTGTATTCAGATCGATTTGCAAGAAATTAAATATTTTATATTCACAAAAGTAACAACCCTCTTTAATTTTGAGGCTTAAGATACAAAAGCAAAAAGCTTTTATTAAAAATGTCAATATAAAAAATGTCAATATATCTAATGGTTGATTAACAAGCTATTTAAATTATAATCTTATAGTGGTCCAGTTTTCTAGATTTTCTGAGATTCTGCTTTAATTATGATTACATGATGAACATTTCTCTACCCATTCACCCATCAACTATCTATCCATCCATTTTTGTGTATTAAATAATTATCCATCTATGCAGCCACTAATCTAGACATTCCATTGATATACATCTGTAAATCAAATATCCATTCATCCATAATATTTTATTCATCCTCCTTCAATAATTTTAAAATCCATGCATCTTTCAGCTATCATATCTTTATCCTCTGTCACTATTATGACAAAAGCAATGATCTATTTATCATTATTTTCTAGTTTTCATCCTCTATTCATATGTTCATCCAATTCACCAATACTCCATGTATTGAACCTCATACAGCCATATACACCTGGAACCACCCATGCTAAATGTATAGAGTAAGACCGTCAAGGGAAGAAAACAGCTATGAATAGAGCAAGTGCCTGCTAAAAAGAGATTGTCCAAACAAAAGCACATCCAAGTATCTCATGAATTAAATGAAGTAGGAGCTCAGAGAGAGGGACATTCATTATAGCCAGTCAGAATGCTCCATAAAGGACATGACACTGCAAGATTGAAGGGTGATCACGTCAGGCTGTCCTCACAGGGAACTCAGACAGGATACACATCCTTAGAATATAGCACCCAAGGTCCATAGAAACTACTCATTCGCAGGGCAATGGCATGAATGTGAGCTCTGCACTCACCCAAGCCTTGGGCTCCCTTTCCGGATCTTGGAACCCAGAAGATACTCCTGTATCTTCATGGCAGCCCTCTAGAACAGAAAGAGCTGCCTGTATGCTCACAGATTAAGTCCATTGTGACTTTGGGGCTTGAATCTTGATTCACAGTTCATAAGGTGACTGAGGTTATGCAAAAATTAAAGTGCAACTGCTTTCTAATGCCAGGAAAGAAGTAAATGTTTTGTCTTCATTCTTAGTGGCACAAGATGACCCAATTTATAAGGAAAGTCATTACAATAGCAGACTTCCTTCCCTGAGCTCCAGGAACCTTAGCTTGAGGTCTCATAGTCTATCCTTCCCTACAGTGCCTACCTCTTCCCTGGCTTACTCTTATGTGCTTTACTCATGCCTGATGGAGCTCATGTCCTGCCCACAGATGATAACTTTTTGCACAGCTCAGAGAAAACTAGCCTCTCCCCAAGGAAGCCTTCTTACCCCTTGATCTCCCTTTGTTTTACAGAAATTTTTTACTCTCAATTTACATGGAGACCCCAGAGAGGTAAGGTTATTTGCTTTTTTGATTACAGATTTTCAATGTTAACACCTTTAAGCACCTACTCATGGTAAATGAAAGCACTCTCCTTTGAGGAATTATAGTCACTTCTTGAGTGTATATCTCTAAGGCAGATAGATAGGTAGTGACTTTCTGCTTAACACAGTTAAAAGAATCAGATGCAGGATTGGAATCTACTCCTCTGAGTATCTATCCATCCATTTTTGAAATGAGATCAATTCACCGAGTTGGCAAAGATTTCCCAAGCACACTCTGTTGTAGCAGAACCTGGTTTAGTAACTAGGACGTATCAGTTAAACAGACAAGTTTCTCTCATATGCATGTGACATATAATTGTACCCAGAACCATTTTTCCAGATGTGGACATGTGAATCAATTTCCTCTTAATCTGTGACCATGTGTTTTCATCAAAGGTAAAATTTAAAATTAATGCAGTTATCAATATAATGTTAGCCCATCCCATATTCTTTCTTCATGGTATTCTGAATCAAGGCATCTTGAGGGTAAGCAGCTTAATTTCTTTACAAAGTAACCTTTTGTTAATAAGAACTCTGTTGATAGATGGATAGATGGGTAGACAGACAAATAGGTACATAAAAATGTACAGTTGATCCTCATTGTCATAAATTATGTTTTTGCACCTTTTTCGCAAAACTGTAATTGTGACTTCCACATGAAACACACACCAGGCCAGCCAAATAGCTCAGTGGATTGAAGCACCTGCAAGCAGGTCTAGGGGCTGAGGGTTTGATCCCCGGGCCTGCCATGCTGGCCCAGTCCCCAGGGCCACTGAGACAGTGATTGATATTTACATGGTGGTGCATGCATGTAATCCCATCACTTGGGAGCTGTAAATAGGAGAATCACTACGAGTCAGATCTAGTGGTGAGGCCTTGAACACACTGTAGACCCTTCCCTAAAATACAGAGAGAGAGAGAGAGAGAGAGAGAGAGAGAGAGAGAGAGAGAGAGAAAAGAAAACAAATTTAAAAACACACAGTATTTTATGATTCTTAGCATACACAGGCAGAGCAGTGAGAATTGAGTCATGTGACACACATGCTACCCTTTGAAATAGAATACAGCAAGGCTCTCCCTTGTTTCCTCATGCAAATTAGGACTGTTCATTTGTGGTATACTTAGAGCCATGTGGAATGGAGTGCTTTATTTTCACATTTTAGTGTTTTGTTAGGTGTCTGTTTCAAAGAACACCCAGCTATCATGTTGAAGAGCTCTCTAAGGTTTCTAAACACAGGAGGCTGGGATGTACATAATACAGATGATGCAGGAGCTTCCTTCAGGCTTGGGTTATGGTTCTGTTGACTGTGGGTTTAATATCAAGTGAACAACATAGTTCATTCAAAAGAGGAAGAGATTTAACCACCTGCAGGCGAGGCCACTCCAGAGAACGGCAATATAACATCAATAGTATGTAATACTACTGTGGAAAGAGATAAGTTTGTGAATTCATAAAATGATGAATTATCAAAAAGTATAATGGACAGTATTGTTGGGATATTTAAGTTGAAGAAAAAGTCCTTCCTGATTGGTATTGATCTTTTATCACAAATACATATTACATATGATTAATTCTATGGAATAAGTGTCTTAAAATAAAAACTTATACGTATAACAAATGACAAAAATGTAACCAGAGGGTCACTCCTTAATTCTCCTGAGTAATGACTCAGCCTTCAGTAATTCAGTGTTCATGGCAACTTTATAGAGCATTACAATTGTGAATAACAAAAATTAATTATAGATAGTAATATATATGATAAGTAGATGGATAGATAATATATATATGCATTGAAAATTGAATCAATATTATATATATGTGTATGCATATATAGACTGAATTAATTATCTAACCTATCTGACAGATTAAAGATTCCTAACTTGAAAATATGAAATTCAAAATCCTCACAAATTCAAAATATTTTGAGAGCTGAGAAGATGGAACAAGTGCCCTTCACACACACCCTACAGATACACTGAAAATATTGTATAAAATTGCCTTCAATTTCTGTATAAGATGTCTATGAGAAGTAAATTATTTTCACTCTTGAATGTGGATCTCATCTGTAAGTTCATTATGTCTCATTATGTGTATGCCAATATCCCCAAAATCTGAAAACTACGCCAAATTAGAAACACTTCTGATAACAAACATTTTGAATAAGGAGTTCAATCTGTATGTACCTTCAGTGAAATTTTCCACCCTTTTTTGACCTAACCAGTGGCACTGCTGGTCAGTGTTCTACCCTCTAAGGTCACAAATACTTGGCCCTCTTTTTAAGAGTTTGAGCTTCAGTGGGCCCTACTCAAGGCCATTCACTTCTACCATGTGGGCTTTGCCCTCAGATAAGCAGAGGGAAGGACATAGGTGGCTCCTGGATAAGTGTAATCACAGAAAATTGCTTCTCTCTTACCTAGAGCTACCCCTTTCTGACCACTGTGATTGATGGAGTGGTGCTTCCAAAGGCACCAGAAGAGATTCTGACTGAGAAGAACTTCAGTACTGTCCCTTACATCGTGGGAGTCAACAAGCAAGAGTTTGGCTGGTTTATTCCAACGGTGAGATTGAAGAAGTCTCTTAGGTGCATCCTCAAACTCTTATCAATATTGGATCCACTGAGCTCTTCTGTATCCAAACCTTTTTTGAGTCCAAGACAGATGTCCACTGGGCAGGAATAGACATTTCCTTGGAAACCTGCTCTAGGATGGCTCAGCTGTACCCTAGATTTTCTGTGATCCCTCATCCCCAATTTTCTATGTTCTCTTTAGAGATTCCTTAAGTGCCCTGGATGGGAGACCTGCAGAAATTGTAATTATGTGGGTGAAAGGTGAAAGGTCCCTTAGAGGAAGGAGAAGGAGCTCGGGTACAACAGCACCCACCTTGGGCCTAGACTCAGTTCTTCTGTAAATCACACATGTTCTCAGGGCCATCATTGGAAAGGCTCAGAGAAAGTCATTTCTTCAAGAGTTAAAATTGTTTTCTTTAAAAAGGGTGGGGGAGGGGGCCTGCGCCTTAGCTCAGTTCTTTAAGTGGCTGCTTCAACAAAGCAGTCAGGCTCAGGTTGCTGTGGTTCGATCCCCACAACACAAGCCAGCCAGTCATGCCTTGAAGGCATTCGGAGCAAAAAAATAAATAAATAAATAAATAAATAAATAAATAATAAATAAATAAAAAGGGTGGGGGAGATTTTCTTTTGTTGAAGATAAAAAAGACCCAGACTAGAAAAGGTTTTACTTACTAATACAATCACAATAAGGAAAGCATGAAGCATGACCTGAACTCACATCCTTAATGCCAAAGATTAGAGCTATTCCCATGCTAATGAGCTCAGGGAGGCACTGTAGATGTGAGTGAGGGATAAGTCCACATGGCTAGACCACAGGATCATGCACACTATCTGGAAGAGGAACGGACCCATCTCTTCAGGACAGGAAGCAGGGATGCTGGTGAAGTAAGTCTCCCCCTAAACCTAGGCTATGATCTCCCTAAGTGTTTGCATTTCAAAGAGACTTTTAAAGCTCTTTAATTTTTTTTTCAACCCTGTTCTTGAGAAAAGTTTTAGATGAAAAATTGATTCAAAAGCAGAAAAAGGGTTAATTGTAAGTTTCCTAAAGGAAGATTTTACAGGAGGATTCAAGGGACTATGTGCACTTCACCAGATGTTGACTAGAAGAAGCAGTAATTTCACTTGCAAACACTGATCTTTCTCAGGTGAGCAGTTGGAGGGTCTCATGGCCTTAAGAGGCCAGGTGAATGTTGGACCAAGTTTGTGAAAGAAGAGATTTGAACATCACATGCTGAGATGTCTGCAGTTTCCACTTCAGGAATCTTGGAGGCTACTAAAGACCAAAGACTCTGGACTCTGGTCCACGAGAGATGGTCTGTGCCCTCTGCCCCCCAACTCCTCCATTCCAGCTTTACCCTGGTCTAAATGTTCCCTTGATGCCTGCATGAACTTTGTATGAGTTATAGCTTGATATATAGAGATAGGGAGTGATAGATGATAGTCACATAGATGATAGATGAATAGATAGATTGATAGATAATAGATTGATAGATGATAGATAGATAGATAGATAGATAGATAGATAGATAGATAGATAGATAGATAACAATAGACTGGTACAACTTTTGCAAAACATTTTTAAATAGGTTTTGTACTTCTTGAGTTTCTGGGTAAAAGCCCCATTTAATTCTTTAATTTTATTCAATTCAGTGAAGACATTGGCCCATTAAGGCCTATAAAACAGGACCTTCATTCTGCACTGGTTGGTTAGTTGGCTGATTTGCTTCTTCCTGTTAATTCCCAGTGATTCACAAATGCTTGACCATATTTTTAATCAGATGATGGGCTTTCCACTCTCTGAAGGCAAACTGGACCAAAAGACAGCCACATCACTCCTGTGGAAGTCCTATCCTCTTACAGTAAGTGTCTAAGGAATCATGGGAATTGGTTTGAGAATCAACGAAGAGCAGAGGTCTGGCCCCAAATCACAGACCAATTCATGGTGAAACAGTGTCTGGGACCTGGAGTTCTGTCCCCATTCTTCTGTCTTTTCCACTTTATCACCCCAGGAGGTATTTTTACAGAGTCCAACAGGTACATAATTCTCATAAGCCTTCTTCCCTGGCAGGAGAAACCATACTACTTTCCAGGTGAGGGTGATTGTTTCCTTCATTTGTTTCAGAACATCCCTAAGGAGCTGACGCCAGTGGCCACTGAAGAGTACTTAGGAGGGACAGATGATCCTGTCAAAAAGGGAGAGCTGTTCCTATCCTTGATGGGAGATGTGATGTTTGCTGTTCCCTCTGTGGTTCTGGCCCGCGGCCACAGAGGTGAGTCCCAGAGGTTGGATGAGAGAAAGACACTGATTCACTACCATAGTGTCTCACCACTCCGAGACCTGTTAGCATCATGAAATGTGGAAATTGCTCAGTTAGACCTTTCTAACTGATTCCATATTGTCTGAGGAATGCATTCAAATTCTGGTATCTGATAGACTTTTCAGAAAAGATTGCAAATCCAAGTTATTACTTAGAAAAGTGTCCCAGAAAATACCAGTAAGATGAAGAGGAAGTGACACAGGACTAAGAGGGATGCTCATCCATGATGCACTACAAAGTACCTGTATACAATTGGAAATGGAGAGCTCTGGGAATCAAACAGAAGGCATTTTAGGATTATCCTGTGTGAGTAGCACTGGGGCTAGGTATTCATCCATGGATAAGTACTTGTTGTAGCTCCAACATTGTTCCAAGGGATTGTTAAGTCTTTGTGCTTAGATCTGTTGCAAAGATGGACAGAATAGTTTCTAGCACCCAGACAAACCCTGTCGGCAGAGAGCTACAGCTGCTGGAGATGGAAGTTGGCTGGCCTTTCCAGAAACAGAGGATGTTAGTGAGGCACCAGCAGCATCTCCCTCAGCAGTTTCTCACCTGAAGTTATGACGGAATAACTTCAGTTTCTCACCTGAAGGAATGAGGATGGACGACAAAAAATGAATGATAAATCTTAGAAGATGTATGATGCTCTTCAGGGATAGTGAACAAATAAAATATATCTAGATGAGTGGATTGGTAGATTAATAGCAAGATGAGGGGATTTGTTGGGGTGGAATTAGCTCAAGTGATTATAGAGGCTAAAATGTTCCACTACAGCAACACAGAGAACATAGGATGCTGGTAGCACAGTTCAGTCTGAGTTTGGAGGCCTCAGAACCACAGAAGTCAAAAGTGTAGTTCTCATCTGATGTCAAAGACCCAAGACCCCTGAAGGCCACTGCTATAGCTTCTGAAGCCCAAAGGAAAGAGACATTAGAGTTCTAATATCCAAAGACAAGAGGAGAGTGTCTTAGATATAGAAGGAATCACCTTTTCTCAGTCTTTTTCTGCCCCACTCTAAAACCTAGACAACTGTTCTGGCCACACTGAAGGTGGATCTTCCCCTATTATCAAACAAACTCACAACTCCCTCCCTCCCAGAAGCACCCTCAAAGAAACAACCCCAAAATAATGTCATCTTTTCTCTTCATATTCTTTCATCCAGGTAAGTTGACACCTAAAACTAACCTTCAGAGATTTCCAAGGCCAGAGGGAGCTACAAGTCTGATAAAACTAACAGCGCTAGTGGAAACTGGGGTGGGGGACACAGCAACAGTCATTGCTTCTGATCAAGAAACCCAAAAAAGGGATTGTGGAGATGGCTCAGTAGAATAAGCGCTTCCCTGGCAAGCACAAGGGCCTGAGTTCAATTTCCAGTTCGGCCAAAAAAAGGAAAAAAAGAAACCCAAAAGAAAGAATAAAAGGAAGAATGTGGAGAGGTCTGCAGAAAGTCTGGTTGGCTTCTGTCTGGCTTAGTGTATACAGCAAGAGGCAAGATGAGGGCCAAAGTGGAATCTATCATGAGACCTTTTGACATTGTCCCAGTGCAGTGTAGGTGGCATGCAAGGTTAGGAATGCTGGAGCCCAGCCAGGAGGGAGTGTGTGGTATAATCAAAATATATGGTAGATATATAAATGTTAAAAACTTTTTATAATACACTGCCATTAATCTCCCTCAAAATAGTCCATCTCACTTTTAGCATACTTATCTCATCATTGCTTCAACTTTCTGTAGCAGTTTCAGAATTCCTTTCTTAGTCTCTTTGGTTGAGCCATCACAGATGCCTTAACATGCTGTATTGACTCAAATCTTTCAAGGTCATTTTGACTTTAAGAAGAACCAAAAGTCTTATTGTGGCACATACAGTGAATAAGGTAAGTGAGGAACACTCTAATGGTTTTATAAGACTGCCTTTCCATTGACATCAGCAGTAGCATTCACTATATTTTTAAAATACACTTAAAAAGACATTCATGAAAGAAGACCTGCAGGACTGCTTTAGAAAGTAGCGAGAGTGATGGAATAAGTATGCCCACAGCAAGAGGAAGTATTTTTGAGATGGATCAATGACAGTGTGTCTTTTACTATAATAAATTTTTCAAATTTAATCATTCACCGTATATTTTGGTCATATATCTCCTTCTGAGGTGTTATTTGAGGAAACTCATGTAACTTTTATTTTAATAACTGCTCTCATCTGTCTAGTCTCAAACCAAAAAAAAAAAAATGCTTCTCTGGTCTATTGTGCTATGTTGGAAGGGCTTTAAATGTTGTTGGTTTACATCAGGATAAGCATTAGCTACAGTGGATACACTAGGTGCCCAAGAGCCACTCAAGAATACTGGTATGCAGATGCTAACCACTGCTTAGCTTCTTCCGAGGACCTCCTGAAACCTTTCTCTTGGGGTCAAATGGGATCCATGCTGTGCTTTCACCCACCTGGCTGTGCCTCCAGGAGTATGCCTAACCTATGTTGCTCCTGTCTACATGCTAAGTGATGCCCCCCATATGGGGCTTGTCTTTTACCTGACATTTTATATATTGCATATTATTTACAATTTAATTTTTATGACAATTTTATTCAGAGATCATTTTACAAATTTTCTCAGGGTTAAAAAAAAAACTCCAATGAAAACATCAGATTGGGCACCTAAGTTTACTATTCCTTTCCTCTTAGATATCAAGGCTGGTTGGTCATATTTTGATACTGCAAATATCACTTTGATGAGTCTTATGTGCATAAATATTTATCATATTCCTAGTCATTTTCCAAATACTAGGTTTTGGAAGTGAAGTTAGTGGATTAGATCACAGGAATATTTTTAGAGCTCTTCATACATGCTGCAAAATTACTTTTCGGTGTGTAAAAGTGTGAGCTATTCCTTCTTTTTCTCATTTGAATACTAATTTTTTATTGATTTTATTGAGAAACATAGGAATGAGACAGTTTCAAAGCAGGTTAGTAGGAGAGTTACAATAATTAATACATTGCATATTATTGTCTTTGTAGTAGTTATTCATAGTACAAGTTGCAGACATGCAAAAAAAAATTTTCAAAATTTTGGGCTGGGGAGGTAGCTCAGTAGAATAAGCTCTTGCCTGGCAAACATACGTCCTGAATTCAGTCACCGGTACAAAAAAAAAAAAAAAGACGCAGACATGATATCCTGTCCAAACACTATTAGTACAAATCTTTCTTCTCACTGAATTAAGAGAAAGTAGCTGTTTATCTATCTATCTATCTATCTATCTATCTATCTATCTATCTATCATCTATCTATCTATCCTTCATTTATGTCCCCCTTCTTTGCTTAGTTTTGCCAGAGCTGGGTATTCCATTGCAATTTTTAAAAATAATTTTATTGAGAAACAAATAGCAATCAGACAGTTTCAAAACCAATTAGTAAGACAGTTTCAATAATTAAAACATTGCATATTGTTCTTTTCCTAGTGGTTATTCATAGCACAAGATGCAGACATGATATCCTGTTCACAAACACTAATAATACAAATCTTTCTATTTATTGAATTAAGAGAAAGTAGCAGTATATCTGTTCTATTTTGAATATACAGATACAAAATGGTCCTTCATTTATATCCCCTTTTTTGTTTAGTTTTGTCAGAGAAGGGTATTCCATTGTCATATAAATATTGTAGGTGTGTGAATTCAGCATAATAATCCTATTTAGTCCAGTAGTCTGTAATAGTACTGGGTTATCTGCAGGATTGGCAATGTTAGAAGTTGCTGACTTGAGCCTTTTACAGCTCAGCATATTACTGTGGCTTTACTTTTTATACCTCGCTTTTATACTTTTCTGCTAGATGGTGAGTCACCTACACAAAACATTCTCTCAGGCTTTCACAGAGAGCAAATTGATCAAGCAATGGCCATGACTCATCCACATGGCTGACACTGACAAAGGATCCACAAACTGGCACACAGGTATTCAGAGTAAATCCTGAGGGAATTTGACTGACCTTGTCAGGTACAAAAGTTATATTTCTTGTTATATAGGTCTTGCTTTCTCTTGGTCTTAAAATATTTTTTAAAAGAGACTTCCCTTACCAAAAACAAAACAAAATCACACTACATTTTCATTGACATAATATTTTTTTACTAGCACTTTTCATGTCTCTGCTTCTCATGTTGTTTTTGATTATTACCCAAATTGGGCCCTATTTTTCTTTGAGGACATATTCATGATTGTATAAATGGTATAAATTTCCATGGGGATCATGCTATCTAAAATACATCCTGTCATCCACAAAAGGCCTTTCCTCTGTGTGTGGTCCCAATTCCTTTACTAGGTATTTGAGTGACAGAGGAGATGTTATCTTCCTTCCATGAAGTTCTTGACATTGAAGCAGTAGCGTTAGTTAACAAAAGGGTTACAGAGCCTCAAAAGGCCAAGTGTTCCAAACACCAATTCTTGCTAAATGACATATACAGTGATGGAAGTTGAGAGGGACATTAAATACAATATTCTACATGTGTACAAATAAATACATTGCTGAACTATTTTGCAAATTAATATTAAATTCAGAAGTGGCTGCATATACTACAAAATAACATATATAATGTTATCTTAATTTTGTATACATAGGAGAGATATGTGCTAAAATATCCAAAGAGGCTTTCTTTGAGTGGTGAAATTAGAGTAATTTTGTTGTTTTCTATTTTTCTATAATTTTCAGGTTTCTCAGTGTATCCAAAGAAGAAAAAGGTATAGATTTCTCCAGCAATTTAGGACTGACTTCTACTATGTTTTGTGGCATTTTGACCAGTGCTACCTGTTGGGATGCCAGATTGGGGTCAATGAGTTAGTCCCCAGGAAGCAGGAACTGGTGGCTTCAATGATCCAATAAGAAGGAAAAGTTACACCTTCCTGGGGCTTGCACAGGAGAGTTGGTGGGTGAAAGAGAAAGACAGAGGTGGGAAGAAAGGTAGCTTAACATTTCTCTGACCCTCTTCTGCTTCCACTATTGGAAGACAATGATAGCAGACCATGGAGATGAAGTCTACTTTGTCTTGGGAATCCCATTTTTAAAAGGTAATGTCCCCTTTGCTATCTTGACTTTAGGCTTGACAGGGTGGCCATGAACAAATTTATCCCTCTCTTCTGACTGACCTTTTCAGGTACAAAAGTTACATTTCTTGTTATGTAGGTCTTGCTTTATCTTGGTGTTAAAATATTTTTCAAAGAGCCTTCCCTTACCAAAAACAAAACAAAATCACACTACTACCTCAACATTCATTCAAATGAGGGGTGATTGATAAAATAAGAAACTTGAGGTTTTGCAGTTTCCTGAGACACAAGAGACAGGTTTTTTGCTCATGGCCTAGGCTTGTATTTAATTACTGTTGCTTGAAGAGAAGCTGCTTGGAATTGCTTTACTCTTCTCAAAATGAGTCAGGAAAAACACTGGAATTGCTCAAAACTTGGCTGAAAAGAAGACAATCCCCAGCCTATAGATCTTCTTGAAATAGATCAGCATATTTGTTACCACTGCAGCACATCCACTGTGAACAGGATATAATCAGATATTCTTATATATGAATCAGTCAAGAGGCAAAGGGCTTTACCTGAGTTGAGGCAGGGTCCTTACGATGTCATTTGAAATGGATCCATGATTTCAACGTTCATTCAGGCAACCATCCCACCATTATCTGACTCAAGTCCCATTTTCATCTTACCTAGTTGATAGCCCTAAGTCAGTCAGGATGTTTCCTGAAACTCTGTCTCTCTCCACTGATGAAAATTAGAGGTTTTCTACATATCTAGAAATCTTGACACCCATCAGATTTGCATCAGGTAGTGTTAACTGTTCATGACCCATGTCTTCTCAGATACCGGAGCCCCCACCTACATGTATGAATTTCGGTATCGTCCAAGCTTCTCATCAGATTTGAAACCCAAGACAGTGATAGCAGACCATGGGGATGAAGTCTACTTTGTCTTGGGAATCCCATTTTTAAAAGGTAATGGCCCCTTTGCTATCCTGACTTCAGGCTTGATAGGATGGCCATGAACAAATTTATCCTTCTCTCCTGACTGACCTTGTCAGGTACAAAAGTTACATTTCTTGTTATATTGGTCTTGCTTTATCTTGGTCTTAAAATATTTTTTAAAGAGACTTCCCTTACCAAGAACAAAACAAAATCACACTAAATTATCATTTACATACTATTTTTTTACTAGCACTTTTCATGTCTGCTTCTACTGTTTTAGTTTCTTAGTTGAAAAAGCTCTATTGGGAAATACCTAGGATTTCCCTTGCTCTGAAACACATGCATGAAGATGTGTATTAAGTGCCCCAAACTATAGTCACTCTCAGAATCCTGACCTGGACATCAATAACACAGGCAGTGGATCATCTACGGGGTCCCACTTTTGGAAAAGAACACCACTATCAGAATGTGAGTGAGGGGAAAATAGAATGGATGCTAACTTTGAGTAGCATCTAGTTCATATCAATACATTTCTAGGCCTGTGTATATCTATGCATTTTAAATTCATATATTTTAAATTTTATTGTATTTAAAAATATAATACTTAAAGAAAATGTTTCACCAGTGTTCTCAATACTTTCATTGCCTGTAGTGGCATGTTACTTACTTCTGATCCACTTTGTGGCTGAATCAACCCATCCCTCTGGGCACCTCTCACTGGATGACTTCTTAAGACCTTTGCAGTTCTGATGTTTTTGAGATGATAGAATGTGGGTGCATTTGGCATATTAAGGAGAAACCTGGAGGAACCACTAGTCCTTCAAAGTAAATTCTTGGGTGTAGCATTATGACCCTGAAAAGTACAGGGAGCTGGATAGATATGAAAGACAGTGGAAGTCAACTCATGCATGGACTACATGGCTAATATCCTAGATTGGCCATTCTCAAACTGGAAATGCACACAATTATCTTCTGCCTTCTTAAAAATACAGATTTTGACTCAGTATGTATGGAGTAAGGGCCAAGACATTGCATTTCTTTTTGAAATTAATTATTGTTCCATTTTAGGTATACATAATGGTCACATTCTAGAAGCTTTTGAGTCATGCTGCTGTTGCTTGAGATCCATGAACCACACTCCACATAGCAAGGATTTTTCTTTGTTCCCCCAGAGCATGCCTCAGAAGAAGAGATACACCTCAGCAAGATGATGATGAAATTCTGGGCCAACTTTGCTTGCAATGGGTGAGGCTGATGGTGAAGGCTTAATGGGTGGTGAGTGAGATGGGGTGTGCTAGGGTGTATCTATCAGAAAGGTGGCTTCTAAAGATTCCATGATCAAACTCATCATCCTGTAACCATAGTGCTCTGACAAATAGTTGTCTACTCACCCGCAGGCTGTCCACAGAGATAGAGAGATCACCATCTCTCAACAAATAGAGGCCTCTGGGAAGATAAGCCAGAGATCCCTGAAAGTCTCAGAGAAATATGGGTACTATACAACACCCTTGGGAAATTTGTATTTGATTGTGTTCCTAGGAACCCCAATGGGGAAGGGCTGCCTCACTGGCCAAAGTACGATCAAAAGGAAGGATATCTGCAAATTGGTGCCAGTATCCAGGCTGCCCAGAGGCTGAAAGAGAAGGAAGTGACTTTCTGGACAAAACTCAGGGCCAAGGAGGCAGTGGAGAACCTACCCCAAGGAGAACACACTGAAGAATGAGGATCAGCCAGCCTCAGGAGCCTGGGATGGCCAAGACAGGTGTACTCTGCAGAAATTGTTTATAGGTTGAAGGCACATTTTGTGGAGGCTGGAGAATTGTTTGTTTAGCATAAACAGCAGACAGGGAGAAAGCATCTTTGACCATGTGTCTTCCATTTGTGAAATAAATGTTCCCCCTGGAAATCAAACCAGTGTCTGTGTCTTGGGCTGGGATCTTCATAGAAAGAGTATGTAGAAAGAGGCTTAATCCATAGGGAAATTCTACCTCTACAGGGATGGCTTGGCCTGTAGACACAATACCCATCAATCTAGGCAACTAGAGGTTCTAAGGGGATTCTGGACTTGTTCCATTATTCTGCCTCCCCTCAAAATTTCCAACAAGAGATTCTGGTGTAGACAGGGTGGAGTGCCTTTCTCCTCTATTTGGAGATGCCTGTGGAGACTTATAAGGCACATGCCAATCATGTTTCTAGAAAAAGGAAAGGGAGAGGTATGATGGTAAATCTGTAGCACTGTTGCATTGTCTTACTGATCCTTACACAAGTCTGCAACCCCTTTTTCAATGTACACAATAATCTTCCAGACCACTTTATGAGACTGTGCCTTCCAAAACCTGCTGTGGTTCACTTCAGGTCCAGACAATGACCATATTGCCTGGACCTGAAGTCCCTCACAAAAGTAGTAGACTCTTCCAAAATATGCGGGGTGACTTTTGTATTCAGCTGGCATGTGAAAAGCTCTACAGAGTCTCAATCTCACCTCTACAATGAAGAGCAGCTAGATGATCCTCAAAGTCTTAGTCTTTGCATCAAAGATCCGAAGCTGAAAGGGAAATGATTAGTCTAAAGTTAGGGGGAAGACAGGCATTTTGAGGACTGCTACAATTAAGCCTCAACTTACTTTCTATCTACAGATGGAGAATGGAGTTATGTGATAGTTGGCCAAATTTAACTAAGGGCTAAAGACTAATGTGTCTAGGATGTAAGTATAAAGTCCTTGGAATCTGAGTACAAAAAAAAAAAATATACTCAGTTTCTTCACCTATGCACTCACAACACTGACTACTTCTGGCACTGAGTGTGCCCTCCACCCCATGCACCAAACAATTCTGTAGCAGACACCAGCTGAGTGTCTTCTAACTCTGTTTAGTTCTTCCTGAGTACAGTCTTGTATCTCATGGGCTGAGGGTTCAATCTAACAGGATTCTCCCTCCTTTGGATATCAATCATACCTGTGCTTCTTACAGTCTGTGTAGAACTTGGATTCTCACAATCCCCTTCTGGAGTTTGATAAGCTTGCTCAACTGGCACATGGATTTCAAGGAAACACATTCAAAGGTTTAATACCAAGGGTACAGATGAAAGTGATGCACAAGATGAAGTACAAAAGAAGAAACACAGAGCTTCCCTGGCTTCTCAAGTGCTCTACCCTCCAGGAACCACCACATAGCCAGCTATCTTGAAGCTCCCCAAACTCTGTCCTTTATTTGTGGAGACTTTCTTATGTAGACATGATTAGTTAAATCATTGGCCATTGGAAATCAACTCAATCTACAGTCCCCTTTCCAATTCCAGGAGGGCTGGAGCTGAGACTCTAAGACCCAGATCTCTAATCCTGCCTTTATTTTTCTAGTGACCATTCCCCATCATGAAGTTAAGGTGCCAGCCAGTCGTCAAAACAGTAGTACACAATGAGTCACCATGTCAGAGATTCTGTAGTTTTCGGAAAATGTGTGCCAGAAATGAGAATAAGGAACAGAACCACAGTCTTATAGATGCACTGACCCACAGGGGTGTTTACACCCTTTACAGACTCATTTCCAGGAACCTTTATCAAGTACTCGTGGAGAAGGTTGAAAGCAGATAGCAAAACTGAGGAAAATGCTTGAAAATGCAAACATTTAGCCCTATCAGATCTTTCTCTTTTGAGGAAAAAGCCTACAATCAGTAGGAAAGATTAGCAAAACTGATATCTCTCAGGGACTCTCTTCATAGCTCTACTGAGGCTGAGGAAAATGAAAATTTTAAATTTTATATTTACTAGTGTGGGACAGGAAATTATTCTCAATTCAAATCATTAAGTATTTTACTGCCTGAGAAAGCAGAATCACAGAGAAAGACATCTTAAGACTGAAGAAAACAGGTCCCCCTGAAGTTGAGACTAGACTATGGCAACAGAGGGTACACATAGATGTCATCTTCAAGTCAGCAAATATAGCTAGCAAGTATCTGAAATCTGCTAGGGAAAAGTGGACATGTAGTCACAGGCCACTCCAGAAGGACAGGTGTGCAGGACAGGTCTTAAGCTGAGGGTGAAACAAGACAGCAAAAAACCCTTTCAAAAACCAGCTCTCACACAAGTATGCTAGAAAAGGCAGAGCCCAAGGTGATAACACTAGGAAAGCAGATCCTAACACCATGTGCACCCTGTAATGCTCATTGATTCTTGTATGCTTAACAAAAGAATTCAGACAAGACATGTAAGCAGTCCTACAGAGTACAAGCAGAATTTATTGCAGAATGGTGGATTTTTCAGAGTGACAAAAACAATACATTTTCATGCTTGAATATGGGTAAGCACCAAGACAGTTGTTGCATCTACTTAAGGTTGGACAGTGTTTATGTGATTAAAGCGGCTTCCAGGGATATCATTTTCTTCCTCTGAGGTCACTATTCTGTTTCAAAGAAAACAGATTTGCTTTGACCTTTCCTTCACGTAAAATGTTTTCACTGATTTGGTTTGAAATCTTGAGTATTTTTCAAGCCCTCACTCTGGTCTGGACATTGTACAGGTCCTGAACCTTATCAGCATGCTTAGAGGAGGTCACATTCTCTTGTCTTATAGCTTCAAACTAAAACTTACTCTGTTTTTATATATGGCTAATGATTAAGAAAATGAAGGAAATAGAAAAAGAAATCACATCATTTTTGCTTTTTATGCCCCCTTTGCTTTTGCTGTAGCCCTCCATTATCTCTCCAGGGACGCTAAATTCTAAATCCCTTCCTAACAGTAACATTTAAATGATTTGAAGAAGGTGAACTTAAGAGGTTTGTTATGACTCACATCCAGTTGTCTGCACAAACCTCATGGAGTTGCAGGTAATGCTTTTAGAAGCCAAACTAAGTGATTCTGCCAGGGACCAGGGGTCTCATTTTGCTTACATCCTTGAACCTGTGCAAGAGGATGGTATGCAGGTTGTGTAGGTGGGAAGCCTACTTACAATATAAGGGGAAGAAAAGAAGATCAATTGCCCCCTTTTCTGCTCTTGCTGTTTTCTGCTGGCTTCTGCCACCCTAAAGTGCTGCCCCTATGCCGTGCCACCCTGCACTGGAGCCAGCTGATTATGGACTGAAACCTACACAAACTGTGAGCTAAATAAACTTTTCTTCCTTAACTTTGGGTGTCAGATATTTTGTCTCAGCAATCAAAGAAGAGTAACTAGGACAAGGGAATATATATTTAGACAAATAATAAAATATTAAGGAGCCTAACACATTTTGCCATTTCATGGCATAATCGTGGATGTGCCACACACACATTTATTCTTTTGAATATTTCCATTGATTAATTATTTTGATTTCATGAGTTTTATTGTGTTAAACAATGAGTGCCAAACAGGAAAAATATCAAAAGAATGAAGTACTGCATTTTTAATGTTTCTTGAGTTTATAAAAAAGCATCAAAACTTTCAATATTGACTGGGTTTTGTTGTAGAAAGACTAAAAAGGAACATCAGAACTAATCTCCTATATAAATTGCATTGAAAATACCAGTAGCACTCTACAAAAAAATCTTTACTTCAGTTATCATGCAGTCTTCACTCATGACAACAGCATGTTCAATATACATGTATCACTTACACTGACAACACATGTGAACTATCATCAAAATTCCAGTAACACTACAACAAAAATAAACTTTGCATCAATTGTCACATGCAAAGCAGTCTTGACACATAAAATTGCACACTCCACACAAAAATATTGCTTACACTGACAGTACATGTTTTGTTTTCCTGTTTTTTCTTGTATGGCACAACTGTCACTTTTTAAAATTTTCTTCTTGTTGCAATAGGTTTTGTGATGCTACAGCTGTCTATGTCTGTCAGCTCACCAATGTGGTGCACAAATATTGTGGGTGTAGTTTTTGATCTGTGTAAATGATCTCTTATGAGTTCCAATCCCAGTTCTCTAAGGAAATTTCTGTATGATATTTTGCATTTATTTTCTTTGTCATAACTCATCACCAACAAGGTGTACTCTGCCTTTCATTTTGCTGTAGGAAGTTTTCTTCTCAGGCTTCCGCTTTGTCGAGGTCTCCCTATCAATATTTCCATCAAGATGCAGTGTTGACAACAGCAGTATCCGTCTATTATTCTTTGCCATACATGAGGCAATGTAAATCTTTCTGAACTTCAAATATTATATTATATAACTCTGTTTTAAAATTGCAAGATATCATTTGAAATTTCTGCTTTGTTCCACATACATTTCCTGTGCTGGTTAACTTGCACTGTTAGCAAACGTAACATAAACTGTTGAATTCACATTCTAATTAGTTTGGAAGATGGGAACAACAAATCTACTCACATCATTTGGTTTATCATTCAAATAAAGACCCGATGGCTAAGTTTCAGGATAAATGTCTAAGTTCAGTCTAAGTTGAAAGAATAATATATCTTCACACCTACAAGGGCACAAATTTTCACACCATATTTTGACCAATTACTTTTCCATAAATCTTTTATACTCTTGAAATCACCATGAGAAATCTGTACTAAGTACAGTGGACCTATGAATGCTTTCAGTTCAGCTAGTGAGGTTTCATAATAATTATATTTTTGAATATGGTCGTTGAGGCATACAGAACATTTTACTTGTGCTTCAGCCTTTGTGATGTATTTCACATCTTGTAGCATTTCACACTGAATATCAGTGCTGGCATTCTGTCCAATACTTTTAACTCCTGCCAAGACCTTCACTGTATCCTTCAACCTAGTTCTAACCTTGGA